ATGTAACCTTTTGAGCCATGTGACTTAAAAGATAAAGAGATGGGACTTCCCTGGTGGTCCAGGGATTAAGACTCTGTGCTCCCAATGCAGGGGGCCCAGGTTCGATCCCTGGTCAGGGAAACTAGATCCCACCTGCCGCAACTAAAAGAGCCCACATGCCAAGACAAAGACCTGGCGCAACCAAATAAATAAATATTTTTTAAAAAATAAAAAAGCTGGGCTTTCCTGGTGGTGCAGTGGTTGAGAGTCTGTCTGCCGATGCAGGGGACACGGGTTCGTGCAGGGGACACGGGTTCATGCCCGGGACCGGGAAAATCCCACATGCCGCGGAGCGGCTGGGCCCGTGAGCCATGGCCACTGAGCCTGCGTGTCTGGAGCCTGTGCTCTGCAACAGGAGAGGCCACAACAGTGAGAGGCCCGCGTCCCACAAAAAAAAAAAAAAGAATAAACTATTGTACAGGGATTCTAGTGTAAAAGAGAGTTAAGCAGAGTGTAGACAGCTCAGTAAGAGAGGCCCGCGTACCAAAAAAAAAAAAAAAAGAAAAAGAAAAAAGCTAAAGAGATGACTGCATGGAAGGATGGGAGGGTAGAGGGATGAAAATAAAGGGCCAGGATGGTCCTGTGGCTCCGCTCTCCCGGTTGTCGCATATGTATGTCTATTTCCTCAAGACACTGGCACGTCACGCACAAGTGGACAAGCTCTGCAGACCAAGTGCCCCACTGGTTTGAGGGTATGTGAACAGACAGCAGGCAGGCAGCCTGGGCCTTTCCCAACTTGGTGCCGAGAGCCAGATGGAAAAAGCCTCAGCCGATCTTCTCTCTCTTCTACTTCTTAGTTTGTATTACAAAAACTTTCAAACATACACAGAAGTACAATGAATCTCCAGCACCCATTCTGTTTGGGTTGGTTCATCTCTTCACTTCTGTCCATTCTACCACTGGTGGAAATCTAGACTGTTTCCAGTTTTTGGCTATTATGAATAAAGCGACCGTGGCCATTTTTATACATGGCTAATGATGTACACAAGCATTCATTACTGTAGTGAAACTGCTGGGTCATAGGGTGGATGTATATATATATATATATATATAAAACTTTGGTTTTCCCAAAGTAGTTGAACGATTTACACTCCCAGCTGTAGCTTGAGAAATCCAGTGGTTCCAAAGCTGTATCAACAGGTGACATTGTCAGTTCTGTTCATGTTGCCATTTTGAAGGGGTGGAGTGATTCACTACTGTGCTTGTAAATTGCATTTCTTTTACAACTAATAATGTGGAGAATATTTTCATGTGCTTATTGGTCATATGGATACCTTCTCTGATGAAGTTATCTGTTTTTCTCTTCTTGATTTCACCCAGAACCACTGACTATAAAGACCATCATTTCTCCAATAAATGCAGTAGTGTTTTTATCCTAAACCAGTTTCCTATATACAGTAAACAAATTCTTCATTATTTTTATGGCCATTTCCTCCCCAGGGCAGGTGAATAAAGTAAGTTTGGCTTGAAAGACAATTTTGCTACAAAATGAATCAGAAATTAATTTGGATGATCTGTTTGGCGTTATGTTTGGCTCTGACACTTCCTGTTACAGTTCCTTGCCAGTCCATTAAAATTTCACAAATAAAATTTCATGAAGTCTACTTATTTGAATTTTACCTGTTTCTCTTTGCCCCCTCACGTCCTTTTTCCATTCCAGAATCTAACCCAGGGTCTTGTACTGCATGTAGTTGTATCTCCTTTGTTTCCTCCAATCTATGATAGTTCCCAGTCTTTCCTAGCATAGTCAATTTTTGATTACATAAATGTTTATTTGTAAATTATAAATATATATTACAAATTTTTGTATGTAAAATATGTAAAAATACAAATATTGAAGAGATAGGTGTTTTTAAAAAGAGAACTCTTTATATTTTTTTCTTTATCCCAGTGGACTCTCCTATATGCCCCATTTTAATATAAATCATAGGGATCTGACTTTCTTCTATCAGATCATTTTAGGAAAAGATCACATGGAAAAGTGAGATACACTCCTGCTCTGTCCTTCTGGATAAAATCTTGAGATGACTACCACCATTCCAAAAAGATATCAACTTAAAATTTCTATATACCGGGAATTCCCTGGAGGTCCAGTGGTTAGGGCTCTGCACTTTCACTGCCGAGGGCGCGGGTTCTATCCCTGGTCAGGGAACTAAAATCCCGCAAGCCGCAAAAAACAAAACAAAACAAAACAAAAAAATGGTTATATACCATAAGTTTCAAGCACAATTCAAAGCAACTGATTGTACCCATTTCAAGGACTATTTAGTTGTATCCTTATGTATGTTAAATATAGAAAGGTTTGTCAGCCATGATGATCTTTGACCTACAAAGTTCTGTTCAAAAAGAGATCAAAACATACAAAAGGAAAATGTAAGAGGAAAGTTAAAAAAAGATTCACTCACATGAATGAATATTTATCCTTCTGTATCTTTTTAACCATGCAATTTAAATGATCAATAGGTAGTCCTAAAAGTAATTACAAACTATTCATTCACTTCTTTCAAATATATGAAATATCAGAGAAACTGCAAATGCACTGGAATTAATATCCAGGTCATTACAAAACAATTACTATTGTAAGGTCTTGAGTACCAGTAAGCCTCTGAAGTCAGGTAAATTAAGCCTATACTGTCAGACGGTTCACCACCCAGCTTAATCTCCGGCAATTAGAAAAAGGCAGGCAGTGTGGCTATTCGATTCAGATAACAACTGTATCTGAATCATTTAAAACTTCTTTGCTAACCTCAATTACTTAGAAAGGGAATCCTGCTACTGGAAACAGTGAAAGGTAACTTATTTTTAAATGTCAATCAAACATTGTATTTAGAGGTTATATAGTCTTTTAACTCAGGGGAAGGAAGGCAGAGAGAAATTAATATGGAATTCATTATCTTTCTGGAGGAATTCATCAGGGTAACAGGGTTATTGAGAACAGAGAGAATGAGCAATGTTACAGCAGATCACGTCTCAGTCTGACAAGGTCCCGAACCCCAGGTGGATACAGTGCCTTGGAATTTACTAGAAGCAATGGTGGTAGGAGATGATGGACACAAATCATCTCCTGGCTTTGCGTTTACTTCACTTGCAGCTCTTCTCAGGCTCCTCCTCCTGGCCTCTCACGTCAGGGCTCCTTCAGGAAAAGTCTCTTTACTATCTCCCTAACGTAAATACCATTTTGAAGCTTATGTCCTCAAATTTACCTCTGCCCAGATGCCTGGTTCACATATCAAACTACCTTTTTAATCTCTCCACTTTAATACATCTAAGTAAGAACAGTGAGTAAAACAGTGAAATACATTGAGCCCTTATTATGGGCCACACCCCATTCGAAGCATTTTTCATACACTAACATATTTAATCACAACAATCCCACGAGGTAGATACTACGATCACCCCTATATTCAGAGGGCGAAACTAAGCCACACAAACATCAGTAACTAGCCCAATGTTATCACATTTCATACATGGCAGGGTCAGGTTTCAAACTATGGTCTCCGGCCTCAGAGCCTCACTCCTAACAACTACACTAAGCCACTTAAATCAATCGAGGGGCTTCCCTGGTGGCGCAGTGGTTGAGAATCTCCCTGCCAATGCTGGGGACACGGGTTCGAGCCCTGGTCCGGGAAGATCCCACATGCCGCGGAGCAACTAGGCCCATGAGTTGTGGCCGCTGAGCCTGTGCGTCTGGAGCCTGTGCTCCGCAACAAGAGAGACCGCGATAGTGAGAGGCCTGCGCACCGCCATGAAGAGTGGCCCCTGCTTGCCTCAACTAGAGAAAGCCCTCGCACAGAAACGAAGACCCAACACAGCCAAAAATAAAAATAATTAAAAAAAAAAAAAAATCAGTCGAGTTTTCTCCAAGGTGTGTTCCCATCTTCTGACCCCAGACTCTCTCACCCCAGTAAGGATGCAGACCATATATACTCAAGTTGAAAAGTAGGAGTCATCTTTGATTCCTCCCTTTCCCTCACTGCCCATACCAGGAAGTTCTGTCAATCCCACCTCCAAACCCACCCTCTTCCCCATCCCCAGTGTAGCCTGGATCGCAGAGAAACACCCCCCAAACCAGTCTCCAGGCCTCTGTACTCACACACCCAGTCCCCTAAATGTATCCTCTACTCAGCAACAAAAGGGATCTTCTGAAAACACATATCAGTTCATAACCGCAGAATTACGAAAAACCACTGAATGGTTTTCTCACTCCAAGAATAAATTTCACAAGTCTCACCCTGTCTGTTGAATGCTCCTAGTCGTTCCCTAAAACTACATCTTCAGCCCCTCTCCACCTAAATGCACTGAAAGTTCTGCAAAGCCAATGAAAAAAAATTTGCACGACTCTTTGTTTGGGATTGTGCACAGCTCTGCCCCTTTAGTTAGCATGGACACAGCTTGACTTCAGTTATATGTTTAGGTTTCCATGATCTTAGAGCTGGGGGCCTAGCCTCCTTTCTGCATACCCCACATCCATACCACTGTGTACATTTCTATTTATCTGGAAAAAGCAACAAAATAATCATCAAAAGGATTTCTAGAATGGAGAATGATCACCTCCTGGAAGAATAGTAAATACTGAAACATAATAGAAGACACAGTAAGATATGTAATATCATTTGACCCTTCCTTCCTGCCATTGACTCCCTCTCCTAGCCAAAAGGCCAAAAGGCCCAGCGTAAAAAGATTATGACAAAGACACAATTTAAAAAAATGGCTAAGTTAACATTAAGATAAAAAAAGAGACAAAAGAGATTTTAGTGAGACTATTACACTTAGAACAGAGGCAGAATACATGTAGCACGTAAATATTTGTTGTTCTGACTTGTAATTATGGGAAGACAGTTAAGTATCAGTTCAAATGGGCCCATGAATCAATATTTGTAATTTAATAGGAAGAACTGGCAGCTGGGTTCCCTGCCCTTGAAAATACCAAAATACCTACAATAGTTGTCTGATGTACTTACTGGCATCATCCATGAACTCAAAGTCACCCCCGAGTTCAGAACTTGAAAAGTGATACTGATCTGGATCGGCCAGGGCACTCAACAGAATCAGCAGTACCACGGCATTGATGATCTGCAAGAAAGAAAAAAATGTAAGTAACCCCAGTATATGGTCCTTAAAATAGAACATTACATTGACCACATGGAGTTTAACTTCAACAGCTGGTGGCCTTTCAACACGAAGCCCCACCCACTGAGGGAGCAGGCAAACATTTCCTTTAAAAATATATATATTATTTATTTATTTATTTTTGGCTGCCTTGGGTCTTCGTTGCTGCACGCAGGCTTTCTCTAGCTACGGTGAGCGGGGGCTACTCTTCGTTGCGGTGCGCGGGCTTCTCTTGTGGAGCATGAGCTCTAGGAGTGTGGGCTTCAGTAGTTGTGCCTCACGGGCTCAGTAGTTGTGGCTCGTGGGCTCAGTGGTTGTGGCTTGTGGGCTCTAGAGCACAGGCTCAGTAGTTGTGGCACGTGGACTCAGTAGTTGTGGCACGCAGGCTCTAGAGCGCAGGCTCAGTAGTTGTGGCACCTGGGCTTAGTTGCTCCACAGCATGTGGGATCTTCCCAGACCAGGGCTCGAACCCGTGTCCCCTACATTGGCAGGCGGATTCTCAACCACTGTGCCACCAGGGAAGCGCCAGGCAAACGTTTCTGAGGCAGAGACACTGCCAGCCCATTCATGCAGCCAAGGGCACATGGCTTGGTGTGCAGTTGGCTTTCACCTCACTGTCTCCTGGGCCGGGCACCCTAGAGCAGTGAACAAACATGCAGCAGCGCTGACGCCAGTGGTTGGAAAAACTCTCCAGCTAGCCACGCACATGCTAACGAGTTTGTTCAGGCGACCAAACATTTTTCACAGGTTCAAACAATAAGAACTTTGAGCCCATCCAGGAAGCAGTGTCAGAGAATGAGTGCAAAGCTACTTAGTGGCAGACCCTTACTTCTGCAGGAGCACAGGCAAGCCGCTTTCTATCCCAGGCCCCCATTTCTGTCTCCTAGAAACTGCTGAATATATTTCTCTCGGGAACTTCAAACTCACCCCGTCAAAGGGGAAACCATATTCCTTAACACCTCCCACCTCTGCTCCTACTTTCCTGTTCTCTCTCTTACAAAACAGCATCACCATTAATAATTAAAAGTGGAAAACACTCAGGCACTGCACTAAGTGCTTTATGTGGAATTTCTCTCTTAAGCCCTCCAATAACCTAATGAAGTAGGTGCAAAATGATCCCTGTTTTGTAAATGGGAAAACTGAGGCTCAGGGGTTAAGAACATTGCCCAAGATCAGGCATGTAACACACTGCAGAAACGGGATTGGGATCCAGGAATACCAATTCCAAAACCTAATCTCTTAAATCTCCTGTTCTTCCTCAAAACCTGATTATCTTCGGGCTTCCTATCTTCCTTTACCCTTACATCCAACCAAGTATGAGATTTTGACAATTCCACTGCTGCATTTCTATTTCCTTTACTCTTCCTAACTGCCCGGGGCTGCTTATACACACATGGACCAACTGTGAAGGGGCTAGAGGTGTGGGGGGCACGTGTTCTAGAGTTTGGTGAGGCTCAGCTGAGACTGGGTTGTTATTTCTCCTTTGTTCTAAGCTGAGAAACTTGTGATAGAGCTCTATGTTTCACTCTTGTCAAAACTGAGAGAAAGATGAATAACCTTCATCTTTTATATAGAGAAAATTCTTTTACTAACAACAGTAACTAAAGGCATTTCCTACTATAAAAATCATATTCGGAAATACCTACTTAGAGAAGAGGTTCAAATGGAGAGCCAGGTTATTCCTTTTACAAAGTACCCACTATAGGGGTTTCCCTGGTGGCGCAGTGGTTGAGAGTCCGCCTGCCGATGCAGGGGACATGGGTTCGTGACCCGGTCTGGGAGGATCCCACATGCCGCGGAGCGGCTGGGCCCGTGAGCCATGGCCGCTGAGCCTGCGCGTCCGGAGTCTGTGCTTCCCAACGGGAGAGGCCACAACAGTGAGAGGCCCGCGTACCGCAAAAAAAAAAACAAAAAAAAAAAACAAAATACCCACTCTAGAATCCATTTTGAAATGGTAATCCCAAGTGGTTGTTTTTTTGATTGTGGTAGAATTTGGAATGACCTTTTTTTCTTCCTCTATTTTCCAAACTGTCTAATATGGTCTGATTGCTTTTTGAAGTTGTAATAATGAGAATGGCAATTTTCCAGAGCATACACATATATGACTAATTTAAATAGATACCACAAGCTTGTGGTTAAAACTTTTTTTACGTTCAGAAAGGTATATAGTGAAAACTGAGTCTCCCTCCTGTTCCTATCTGACAGTCACCCTCCCCACAGTGGCTACTAGAGCTGCCAGTTTCTTGTTTCTCTCCAAAGAGCCATGAAACTTCACAACACATTTTAAAGCGAGTATGATTGGCAAAACTGTAGTTGAAGAAAAGCTTTCAGGACATATCTGAAGCTTAAAGGAAAGTATGAGTTAGTTCCACAACGGGCAGACGATTTAGCAAAGACGTTCTTTGACAAATCATCAAGTTTTCTTGGCATTCTATTCCCTCTATATTCTTATCTTTGGAAAAGGCAGACCAAAGATTATGTACTGAAATGAGATAAAATTACCTAAGAATGTGTTTTGAAAAGTTAAGCACCAGACAAAGGCAATGTGTTTACTGCTGTTATCACAATGGGGTTGGTTTTTAAGGTTTGGAGAAAAAAAAAAACACATAAATTTGGGATTCATGGGTGAAGCTTTAACGAAGGAAGGGGTGGGGTACAGAGGGTAAGAGAGAAAAATGGCTATAGGTGAGGCAGGGCAGTGAACCCAGTCAGGAAATACAAGCCAGATTTAGGGATCCTTTAGGGCTAGTTACAGAGTTTCGGTTTTACTCTAAGTGCAACAAGAAGCCAATGGAGAATATTAAGGAAGGAAAGAATGTGATCTGTTTGGGGTTCAAATGAGTAAATTATGTAAAACACCTAGAAGGGTAGCTGGCATATAATAGTGACTCAAATTAGTTGCCTTACCTCTTCAAACCTTAACAAGAACCGTATAAAAGCTCTTGGCTGGCATCAGAAAGTTACCTGGTCCCAGATCTCTCGAGACAGTGCTATGCAGCTGCTTTCCTGTCCTTTCAGATCCAGTGGGCCTGTCAAGTCTTGGTCGACTTGTTATTACCCCCTTGCCTGCTTTACTTATCATAACACTTCCACCAGCTGCCTCCTAGAGTAGATGCCTTGTTAGGTGCTTAGTAAAGAGCCTCCCAGGATTCACAACAGGTTAAATAAATCATGCACCCAAGTAACACAAAGCATGAAGCCGTAAGCACAACAAGACTTCACAGAAAGAATAATGGAGAGTCAGAGAAAGATACTACTGAAGCCTGAGGCTGAGACCAGGGTTCGCAGGGAGGTGCAGTGGACATGGGAGCACTTGGACAGGGACTGGAAAGATGAGAAGGTTTTGGAACCCAAGAGGTGTAGAAAAGAACAATTTTGGGATTCCCTGGCGGTCCAGTGGTTAGGACTTGGCGCTTTCACTGCTGGGGCCTGGGTTCAATCCCTGGTTGGGAAACTAAGATCCTGCAAGCCGCACGGCGTGCCCCCCGCCCCAAAAACAAACAAACAAATAAGAGAGAAGAACAATTTCAAGTATGAGTAAAGCCACTTGGACAGGGACCTGCGCTGAAAACAGCAAGCAGTTCGATTTGGTTTAAACACAGTAGACAAAAGGAAAGTGCTAGGGGATGAGACCAGAAATGCAGGCTAGGGCCAGATGGCAGCGAGTCCTCAAAACCAGGCGAGGAATTTGAGGCTTTATCCAAAAAGTTAATGAAGGTTTTTGAGGCAGGATATGACGTGATCAGAGCTGTCATTAGGAAGATCAAGCTAGAAAAGGCTGGGAGGCTAAAACGGAGGCAGGAAAGCATTCTGGAAAGTACTGCAATAGTCTGGCTGAGCAGTAATGAGGGTCTGATCCGCTTCATCTCTAAATCTCATGACAACCCTGTCAGATTGTCATCTTAGGCATTAGCCTGAGAGGTTACTTAGGTCCTACATGTGGAAGAGTCAACGTTTGAATCTCAAGGCCTTTCCACGTGGAGGTGGAATTATTAGACACACAGGAAGTGACGAGCTGCAAGGATAAAAAAAGAAGCAAAGGAGACTCTGAAATTTCAAGCCTGGGTGACAAAATCTTGTAATTAGCAGCAATAAGGACTATGACAAGGTTGATTTTAGGTAGGAAAAGTACTTGCAGGCTGTCCGAATAATTATGTGTTGGCTTGTCCGTCTGGCCTCTCAGCCTCCTTTTTTTTATTCAGCCTTTGGTGCTCAGGCCTGCACTCCATGTGTGTTTGCCTATCCCAGTAGGCAGATTTTTTAAATGTATTATAAAGATTCCCCCGCTGCTCCAAATTCAATGAGGTCCTTCTGATTCACCTTGCAGGCCACAGTGCCATCCTTTTGGCATGTCTTCCTCATGGGTGATAGATTAAATCAAGAAACCACCACCACTACACATTCTGTCTTATATTACTGAAGCCGTTTTGCCTGCCCTATGTGGTGTGATTATTGTTACGCCACTCTACAGATGAGGACTCGCAGACTTTGGGGAAACCTGCACAAGGTCATGACATTTTCAGCTGACACTCAGTCATGGGTCCTTTGATTACAAATGCCACACATGCTCCCTCCAGTAACCCAGGTTCCGCCCCAAAAGCCACCGCACCCGGTTCACAAGCACTGGCTCACAAGCCCTGGCGACTCTGCTCGCCAGTCCCCTGGCAGCAGGCTCAGAATTCTTTCCAAGGGAGTGTTCCAGACAGCCACTCTCAAGGCGACAGGAAGCTGGCAAGCAGAGTGGAACCGACTTGCGACCCCAGCAGAAGCATCCTCAATTTCCCTGAATGGACTTGGTCAGGTTCTGATCTTCACTCTCAGGCTGAGACACCACTGTATGTATTCCCTCAGAATGATGAGAAAGATGTCTGGACAGTGAACAGAAGGCAAAGGATGGTCCTCTAGCAGAAGCCAGAAAGAAGGCTGTTCAAAGAGCCACTAGGAGACTTGGTGGGGGGGGAGGG